TACGAGCCCACCTGGGGCTCGCTGGACGCCCGGCCGCTGCCCGCTTGGTTTGACGAGGCGAAGTTTGGCGTTTTCATCCACTGGGGCGTGTTCTCGGTGCCCAGCTTCGGCAGCGAGTGGTTCTGGTGAGCTCCGCGGCCTGGCCCTGACCCCGGCCCGGCCCGGCCCGGCCCGGCCCGCTCCCGGAGCCCCTACGGTCCCGTCGCGGCCGGCGGGCAGCCTGTGGGCGAGCCGGGCTTCGGAGGAGACGGCGGCTGTGTGAGGGACATCCCGCCCCGCTGGTTCCCCCCGGTCTGGGTAGCGCTGCTGAGGCAGCGCCGGGGCTCAGCCCGCCAGGCCCTGCTCCCGGGAGGCTTCACCTTTCCCCTCTGGCATCTCCACAGGAGCAAAGCTGAAAAAGCTGTGGTAACCTTTCCCCAGCCCGGCATTCTCGCCGCCCCGCTGCCTGTGGATGGCGGGAGCGCTGAGGTAATCGTTCCCTGGCTGTGCAGTGAGCAGTTCACCTTGAAGAGGTAATGAGCTTTTAATTAGGGGAGGGTTATGCAGAATTTCCTGTTCTTTCCTGTGTGATGCAAAAGCCCTGTCTCACTCGATGCGTAACCCTAGATCAGGATGATATGAAAAAAAAAAAGGCATTTTCCTTTGAAATCATGTTTCCTGCCTTGTGCATCCTCACAGAAGCCACAGTTACGGGTACTAGCTTTTGGAAACTTCGAGTTGACTCGACTGAAAACAAACAAAAAAAAATTAAAAATAAATTAAATGCAAATGTATAATCAGTGTTAGTCCATCCAAAGGAGGGGCATTTCCCACTCCACCACTTGAGGTAATTCAAAGCAGGTTTGAGGCCACAGCTGCAATCAGCTTGTGCCCTCTTGGCATCTGCCAGGCTGCGATTTCCTGCCTCCAGCTTCACCTGCCACAGCTCTGCCTTTCCATGTGCCTGACTTGTTCATGGCTTTAAGCCCTTGGAAGTCTTTCCATTGTTTTCAGAGGATTTTGGGTCAGGCAACAACAGTATTGCATAGGAACTTTCCCTAGCGATGCCCCACGCTAACAAAGCCAGAAATGTTGCCAGATTGCTAAAGGATTGTATTACAAAATCCACGGACATGAACAAAGTGCATGTTTTAATCACATGCTGGAAGGCATAACTCTGACCTAGTAAGCATCCCCATGCCAAATAATAGAGGTTAGGGTTTAAAATGTGAAAAGTGTTTATTTTCCTTACATTTGAAGATGGCTGAATCACTCTGGTTCAGACTTGCTTGCATAATTTTACTCCTCAACTAAGTATAAAGTTGCTGAATATAAATAAAAGTATCTGATTTGAAATGAAATGTATATCAAGCAGATCTGAGAGAGAATTGATAATTCTCAATAATCCACATGAAAATATTTATTTATATGAGGTGTGATGTCAAGAAATCAACAACCTAAACCACCATTTATGGAAATGGAATTCCCTGCTCTCCCAAGGTCCTTCCCACTTCATTTAATACCCTCAGAAGTAAGGGGGATCTAAAATCTATTTTTGCAATACAGGCTTCAGGATCAGAAGCAATGCTGTAGTACATATTTACATTGCTTTAAGGAAATGTGGGTTAAATGGAATCCATTAAATGGATTTTCAGGTTTAAATACACGCATCTACGGAAATATTTTACAGATATTATTTAGGCATGTAAGTACAGTCATGGATATCTGCAAATTATTTTGTGCATAAAGAGTTCCAGTTTGCAAATGTTCCAGAAATCCTAGTGTTAGTAAAGCATATCAGATCAAATTAATGCAAGTTTTACGCATGTTCTTCAGAAAACTTGTGGTGGTGCTTGAGATTCCTACTTTGCATTGAAGTTCAATTAAAAAAAAAATCTAACCTTGATTATTATGCATACAATGCATAGGAAGATGACACCGGCTGGATATTTTGCAGTTTGCAGTACGTAGTTTCAAATGTAGAATAATAAATCAAATTCTCAACAGTAAATTTGCAGTTTAAATCCTATTCTAAGTAAATTTGTATTAATACATCTATAAAAGCTTTTTCTTAATTTGGGACTTCTGCAATTTGTTGTTCATAAGCTAACATATAAATTAAGCAGAAAGCTCCTTTATTTCTCTAGCTACATTAATTGTTATGGGCAAATAGTCCTGAACTCCAAGGTCAAGGTTGTTCCACCTATTGTCATGGCTGTGTGTACCTGACTTGGTAAACGTGTCAAGTGTCAAGACAACACCCCAAGACAAGGCAGTGCAGAACATGTTCTAGGGAGTTGTTTCATAATAAATAAGAACACTCAAAAACTGCTTTCCAAATAATTTAATACACCTCCTATATCAGGCTATGGGTCAGAAAGTCACAGATATATTTATTTCAATAACAAATATAAGTCACTGGAATTCTTTAATGTTTTATATGGCCAAAGGTTGGGATTTTACTCTCAGTCATGAAAATTATTTTGGGGGGTTTTTTTTGATGACTCAGAGTGGTCAAAATTCATATATTTTTTTCAAAAGCTATTAATGTTTTTCAATATGAGTTTTTTATAACAAGAGGAACCCCATAAATACTAATTACCGAGGTCAGCATCCGATGATTTCCATGAACTACAGCTGTGTATGTAGCATGTGCTGAAATTACTGGACATAAATCAATCTTTAGTACCTGATGGAATGGTAGAATGCATACTTTCTGTACCACTCTGCTGAGGCCCTGTTTAGGGTCCATATATGATGGCCACATCTAAAACCACTTTTTGGCAAAACAACTTTTGGTTTTTTTTAAAACTCCTCCTTTTACTTATGTGCTCTCCGGAGTCCTTCAAGCCAAAGGCTTTATTGGATTAATGCCAATGCTTACATCAGACGTTACAAAATCACGTGGTCTTGCAAAAATCACATTTTTATAAGTAAAAAGAATAAAAATGCAGGGAGGGTTTTAGAGTACTGGGTTTTTTTCTGACTACAAGATCATGAAAATGATTGTGAATGCACACGATACTTTTGCCTTGAAGTACCACAAGTAAATTTAGCCTGATACAATAACAATAAATTTTGTGAGAATGAAAACAGTTGGCTGTTAAGAAAAACAGTGAAAAATGTGCACGTCAAAAATTCCGTTTAGTTTGCAATGAATGTAGCAATCCATTAACTATTAACCCAAATTTCATTTTTCCTTCCCAGATACCTTTTGTGGTGAATTACCCGATATAATTGTGCATTCCTTATACAAGAATACAGCTCAGACAGTATATCTTTCATTTTGTCAAAACAGCTTTTCCATGACAATCAGTAAAGACGTCTAGATTTTGGAGCGAAACAAAACCCAAGAATCATGAAAGGAACCTAAAGTGGATTTTCTTCTCTTAGGATGATATTCTAGCATAAAAGAGATCAATGTATCTGCATTATTATAGAGGCCAAATATCAATGTTTTATTAATGTAGGCTTTGTTGGATTCAGCTTGTGGGTGACACCCAGCTGTGCGGTGCTGAGCTGCTCATTCCCTCCTGCGGAGAACAGCTTGTGTCATCGTTCCGCCTGCCTGCGCGCGGTGTTCGTGGCTTTGTCAGTGTGTGCACTAATAACGAGTTGCCAGCTAATGCAGATAGGTGCCTGGACTTTCCTACATCTAACTCATTCTGCAGTTCAGAACAGATAGACTTCTGTAGGCACTTCCAGTGTGGTACTTGCAAAATATTTAAAGACTAGCATGTTACTACTTAAGGTTCAAACAAAATTATTTATTTACTCTTACATGACTATTTTTAATATTATAATTAAAGACACTGGTAGTCTTTACCCAAGAATAATTTATATCTGTGTCTTCTGAAGAGAAAAACAGCAAATCAAGGTAACATTTGAAAAGCTACGGCAAAACCTGTAAATATTGTTATTGATGTAGGGACCTTTTCAATATATTAAGCATTTCCCTATAAAAATTAATGTGTTTAAAATTAGTTATTGTATTAAGTTTGGGGTTTGTTCCTTCTCTGCAGCAAAATGCCACGGACTTAGATAGCATTTCTTAAAGGAAGCTCAGAAAGCAGAAAGCAATTTATTCATAGTAAACATTTGACAAAATAAATTGTAATAACTTGTTTGTGTGAAAGATATTGATTTTGATTTCACATCTGCGTGAAGTGACAATGTCCGTAACATACATGGGCTCATTCTGTTTCCTGCAGCGGAGCATGGCATTTTTACGCTTGTTATTTGAAGAGAATGCTCACTTGGACAGTTCAAAATGCCTGAAAGAGTCTTCTGTCTTGACAAAGTAAGGCATGCACCTGGGAGTCAAAACACAGGGACGAGTCCTGGGTCATCTCTGACAGGAGACAAGACACATATATGCATCATCTGTGTGAGGAAAATCACTTAGTTCTATAATTTTTCCCATATTCCTTTAATGCCAAACTTTCTCCTTCTCTTTAAAGTGATTGCAAAGAAATGGGTTGGACCTTGCTGTTTATGGATTTAGAATTTTCTATGAAATTGTCAGAGAGAGAGCCTTTAAGTTTTGCCTCCTGTGAAAAAAGTGCGTAAAGAGAACAGATTCTATTAATGGTAGGATATTTATCTCATTTCCTAACTATGACCAGCATACTTAGCAAGGAGACAAGTAACAGAAAGAGACACAGAATATGTCTAAGGACTGCAGCCCCCTTCCTGGTGTCTCTCTGGCTACTGAGAGATGTCCCCCCTGCCGCGGCACTGCCTCTGCGAGGACGGCAGAGTGGACACCACCACCCCTTTCCCAGGCAGAGCTCTGCTGCCCAGCTCCTGCCGGAGGTACCGTGCTGAGGGCAGCCATCACTTTTGGCTTTCTTGGCTTCAGTTCTCCCCTGTGCTGGGGCCTTTGGGAAATGCACCACTTTACGATCGCTCCTCCCTGATCCTTCACCTACACTGGTTTTGTTGTTGTTTTGTTTTCCAAGCGCTACATGGAGCAATGTCTCTCTTTCATAATTTGCCACACACACAAACATTGCAGCTTCTACTGCAGTGGTTTGCCTTCTTCTCCAGAGCTGCGAACTCTGTATTCCAGACCTCATTTAAAGACTTCGCTAAGCAAGCAAAAAGAAAGAATTATTAAAGATTCCTTTTTTTCATTACTGCCAAGTGTGACTTTTTCTCCTGCCATGATGTTTGATTTTTCAAGTGCATCTTGCTAGAGAAAGGCAATATATTGTGCTTCCCTGTTAGGTATCATAGCTTTTCTTAATGGTTTCACCGCCCCCCCAGTCCTGTTATTAGTCCACGGCCAAAAAGGCAATATGCTTTATTACAAAGTACAAGCTCAGTAAAAATAACTCTAGATTGTTAAAGTAGTAAAATATATTTGAAGTATCTCAGAGCAGATGCTAGAAATTTGTCCTAGGAATTGATATTCACTATTTTTTTCTGGATTTTAATATTAGTTTCTGTTCTGTAGATGTTCTTGGCTATTACTTCTTGTGAGCTCAATATCTGTTCACAGAAAAATGTGTCTTTGCTTGAACAGGTGGAAAGCTGGAGAAGCCTGACAGCCGGTGCAGCTCATTTTTTCAAATGCCAGACAACGATTTGGAAATGGTATGCCTGATTGAGAGGGAGAAATCAAAATGATTGTGATATTTTGTGTGGAACAGATGGAAGAGCAAATGCTGCCGTCATAGCAGTTTCTCTGACCTTAGCCATGCTTTGTGTTAAACAGCTGTAAATGTAATAAATAAAATGCAGATCCACTGTTAATTTTTAACCTCATTAATGAAAATTTTCCCTTTGAAAACACAAATTAAATAGCAGCTGTACTTATAGAACCTTGCTCTATATGTTGCTTTTTATAGCTAACAAAAATAATTATATGTTGCACACAACCTTTTTTCCCCTTAAGAGGTGATGCATGGCTGCATGCGGTGAGTTGTACAACTGAAAGGCAAGATCTGGCTATTCTAATTCAATATACACAAAGCAGAGGCCTTGGAGAGCTGTTTCACTCAGATATGTAGCAGCATCTGGGATATAATTGTAGATGGCCCAAGTTATAAAATGAAATAAGAAGGCATAAGGCACGTTCCTTCAACTCTGGAGTGCAGCACTCATTTTGCCATTTGTACTACTTGTTTTGTGAAAGACAAAAGTGGAAAGAATCAGAATCGTACTGGCAAGTAGACATACCACAGCAGAAAATGTGGTGTTCCCAAAAAATCCTGCCTTGTAGAGGGAATCCCAGCTGGGAAAACATTCATCTTCCTGTCCTGACTGGGAGGAAGTCAAACGGGGACCCTTGTTTGCCAGAGCTGTCCTCTGCTTCTCAGGAGCATTGGAACTACGTTCAGTGTTACCAAACAGTCTTGGGGTTCACACTGTGACTGCCGGTCTCACTGAACTCCACCACCAGCACAAAGCCTCAGCAGAAAAAATCAGAGTGGAAAAGCTGGGTTTTCTGAAGTCACATGAGAACAGCCCTGCCTCTGGCTCCCCTGCCCTTTGCATATGCAGTCCCAAAGGAGAGCCGGTGGCTAATCTGTGGGCTACCACATTGAGCTAGTTCCTGATAACTCGAAATGGCTCACAGCCTCAAATTGTACTGCTGGTCACCAGTGAGAACACTTCAAGCTAGTTAACACCAGTTAGCTAATAGAAAACTAGTTAAAAGCAATTGAAAGTGTCAGTTGCTCTGTACTGTATGTATTGTAGCTTTTTTTTTCTTTTCTTTTATTAATGAAGCATATTGGAAAGAATAATTTTCTGGTTTTAGCTAAAATGACACAGCTCTCAGGATGATTTCGGTCTTCAGAAGAGCTGATCTGGGAGATGAGATGTTTGTTCACAGACAACACGTGAGAGACAAAAGTAGAGAGTATCTGAAATTATACTGGAAACTACAGCTGCCATGGCAGAAGATGTGGTCTTCTTGGAAGATCCTCCCTGGTAGAAGACGATCCTAACACTTCTCCCATGAAAAGTCTTCAGCAACATGTTTGTAAGTCATTGAATTTGGTCTGCAAAGGCAGTTCATTAACCGTGACAAAAGTTCATTAACCATGCTTGAGGCTGGGTAAAAAGGGATCAGTGTAATTCAGACTGCATGTACCTGCTGTCTTGATGAGGGGGTGGTAGCACAGTTTTGTCACCCATGAAGCAGAGCATAAGTGATTTGTTGTATAGTGCAAAAGAAGGTTTGGAGCGATGACCAGTCCAGCCTTTCTTAGTACAAATGGTGATAAGCTTCATGGGGCTGATGCAGAAATCTGGAGTAACGTCCAGCAAACTTTTGCCTGATGTTGAAGAGTTGGAGCTGGACATCCAGTCAGCCTCACTTCCTCTCTTAATGGAGAGAAATAAGCTCATTCAAAGGCATTTCAGCTCTTTGGTTTTATCACCATCTGGAGATGCCTGGGGTGGGATTCCTCTCAGCTGTCTGCTGTCTAAGAGCCTACTCTATGTTAGCTGTCCAGGCTTCCTGAGAAATCAGTGAAGAGAGACAGACACCCACTGTCTCAGATGCTTGTCTTTGGAGAGGTGGAATCCTTCTCCATAGATTCCAGAGGAGACACCTTCTCATGGCCTATCTAGGGAAGCTGGGTGGCTCCCAACCCTTCATTTGACTTCAGATGGGTGAGAGGAAGAGTACTGCTAGGGGCTGAATGGCACAGGCTCCATCAATGACCTAAGAAATGGCCTTGTACATTTTTGGAGAGTGCTAAAACTGACCTGACTGATTCTTACATTCTCATAAAGGTGGTTCCAGTTCCCACTCTGTCCTTCTTAACTGCTAGCGATAAGGAGCACAGTTTTTTTGTTTTATGAACCAGTTTTATATTTTAAAATCAAGGAACTGAAAATATAAAAATTCCAAGCAATTTATTTATTTTTAAGATTTAAGATAATTTGCATTGATACGTATAATATGTATAACAAGCATATAAGATGTAAATTCTATGTATATATTATAAAGATATAGTATGCACTACATTTGATATGCAGATCAATGTCCTGTTTTGAAAACATCATCATAGCCTGTTCTCACTTTTCTCTCAAGTTCATTACTGCGATGCAGTTTGTGAAGTGTTTTCATTTCCCTACAGGATGGCTTTAACCTGGAAAAAATATCCTCATAATTCTGCTCTTGTGGGTCAGTCAGAGACCGTAAAGGGAGTGTTTATGAGCATGCAGGCTCATGTGCAACACAAGAGGCTGTGAAATACCAACCAGTAGTTCTTGTACCTAAAATTACTCATGTTCTTCAGAAAGAGATTCAGCTTTGTTTTGAAGATCACGAGGAGCAAAGAATTGTTTTCAGAATTTAATGCTTGACTTCTAAACAAGGGTTGACTCCTAGTTAGCAAATTCCTTGAAGCTTCCTCAGGTGATACCAAACTCTAGCATTGGCTTCGATTACAGCCACATCAAATATTTGCGTTGGAACCTGACACCACATGAACTTTGCTCAGCCTCAGGTTCCACTCTAATGTTGGTGTTTAATAAATATTCATGAAAACCATAATTCCAGTTTTGATCAACATTGGTTTCCTATAAAAGCCACTGAAACTTGTGATTTAAACGTAAAAGCAGCATAATAAGGACTCTTTTGACTGAATGCCTCCTTTGGACTTGGAATAAATGAAACTCAGGATATTTGTGGGTATGAAGTTAAGAGGAAAAACGCATGCAAATCCTTATGAATCAAGAGAGAGGGAGTTTTGCACAGCTTGAGAGCTAAATTCTTCTATGATAGGGGAGTGTCGCATCCCAAAGCAAAATTGAATTTCAACCTGCTTGCTTGGAGGGTTGCGTTAACAACTGCGGAAGCCCATTCAGTGCAGACACTTCCACGTGCCTTTCCAGCCAGCTGGATGCTTGGTGGCCTGGCCAGAAGATGGCAGGCGTGTTTTGTGGGAGGACGGAAAGTGTGCCAAGCAGACAGGTGTTCTGGCTGTAAGAATAAAATAATTCACAGTCAAGACTGAAAACCTTAATATTATTTTCCTTATCCTGGTAATGGTTGCACTGTAAGATAACACAAGATAATAAAACCCGCAATAGTTTACAGCTGCATGTGTACAGGGGGAGGGAAGAAGGACTCGGGGAGACAAGCCCCTCTGATCCCATTGATGTGGGACGTGCTCCCGAGTGACACAGCACAGTGCCAGCCCTGCGGTTAGTGCCTGGCAGTCTGAAAAAGCCACAGGAGAACCCCACAGAATTAGGTTACAAATATTAACGCAGCATCTCCTCCCAGCTCCAGGCTTTCTGACCCACTCTCACAACCGGCAAGAGATGTCTTTTCTTGCCTTATGAAAGTCTGGTGAATCTGCTGTTAATTCTTCGCTTGGCTCCGTTACTATTTCCTTCTTTCCCTCCCTAACTTCTGCATGACGACGCAATTAATTTAGCTCCTGCCTTACAGTCTGACACATTCCCCTCTCAGCTGGCAGTCTGCCAATTTCCGCATCCTTTCCAGAACTGCAAGCACTCCTTTCACTTAGACGCAGAATAGTTCGGCCTGGTGTTCCAGCCATTGGTAACTGGATAAAGGTCTCAGCTTATCAGCCCATTTTTGACTTGGCCAGAAGTGCAAATTTAGGAAAGCAAAGTACTTAATTCCCAGCGGGGGCTGAACATTCAGTTTCTATAAACTGAACATTCAGTTTCTATAAAGCTCCTGTTTACTGACCTGGCATTCCCCAGTGTGGAAATACTCTTGTGTTTGCAGAGAAGGCATACAAATTGAAGAAATACATGGACCACTTGGAGCAGAATGCCAGGATGCTCATAGTGACTCTGAACTTCTGGGACATCATCCATAGTTTTGGACCAGGAGTGCAAGAAGTCTAAGGAGCTGTACTGTGATTGCAAGATACTCCACTTTAGTAGAGAGCAGTGATTTTCATTTGTAGGCTTCAGCTGATCTTTCAGATATCCTGGGCACAGGTCACTGGTCCCCCAGACATCAGGACAGAGGTCTTGAACGTAATTACATTTTGTAATGGACACTGGCACAGGGAGCAAAGCACAAGGTTGTGAAGAGATGGGGTAGTTTTACAAAGATGTTTGTCAAAGGTTTCAAAGCCAGACATGTTGTACTGCTGTAATCCGGCTATGTCACAGATGTATGAATAACTGAAGCCAAGTCATTGTCCTCCAGGACAGAATGAGCCTCCTGTGTCACAGGAGCTGGGAACAACAATGCTGAGGTAGATATGTGAGAAGTTGCTACTTGTGAGGAATCCAAGCATCTTAAATTAAGAATTTGATGGATTGTGGATGTGCATTTTCAACAGGAGAGTCGAAGGAACAAAATGTTTCCCATTGCTGTGGATGTTTTTGGGGGGTGGTGCTGTGGGCTCCAATGTACATTTCAGTTGTGACCTGCGCACACCCAGCCACAGCAATGACTGTACGCGATGGCACAGAGGTGCTCTCCGAGTCTGAGTGCTGTTTGAGCTGTTTGAGTACTGCCAACGCTTGCATTGGCATCATCCGACCAGGTCACCCAGGGGCTCGCTCACTTACGGACCAGAGGGGGAACCCATCCCCTGTAGAAAGTTTCATCATTGCTCAGGGTGGGCAGAGTCACTGCTGCTGCCCAGTCACTTTGCTAACAGTAGAGCTAAAGAGCAGGGAAGGATTTTTGGGAAAGAGGGCTGATAAAACCAAAATGGAACATATCACAAAGAGGGAAAAGGTGTGGGGATTTTTTAAACCATGTATTTTCATTATGGCTAAGACTTTTGTTAACCTGATTTCCATATGCATATCCTGAGCAGCTAGGATTCTTGTGAACAAGGAAGGAAATAAAAGCTTTGGATTTTTCAGTACTCGAAAGTGTATGTGAAAAGGGTACAAGAATGACAGATTTCTTCCACTTATTTGAAAATACTGCAGCCTTACAAGAAGTTTCAAATATTCCTGCAAAGGATGGTGTTATACATGAGGCTGAAGAATAAGGTATAACCCCCTCGTTCCTATTGCTTCATGTAAGATAAGATTTATTTCTTTTAGTTAAAAGCACTACAGCCTTCAACCCAAAAGACATCCATGCACCAGTTGATTTTTTGAGGAAAAAATGTCCAGTGGTGATCACATTTTCTGCATTATCTCTGAGGGCAGTAAAAACAGAAGATGACATAATGTGCATATATATAATATAAAGAATTACTCAATTAGTTATAACAGAAAGCTTTCTATCTACAAAGGCAGCTCAGCATGAAGACGAGTTTCCTAGTGAGTTGTGGAAATTCTGCCAGTGATGTTTTTTATAACAGCAGGGTAGAGAAATAGCTAAAAAGAATACTCTTGGTGCTTTTAACCCTAGTATAGCAAGAGTATGGATAGGCATTATTAATTTCAAACTAATAATAAACTTTGGGTATTGATATTTCTGGTACTAGCAGAAGGTGATGAACTGAATCAAAATTACTGAGAATACTTATTTTAATAACTTGCATCAGTGTATTGACTGAACATTCATAATTAACATCTACACAGAAAATGTTGGTGTGTTTCTAACATTTGTATTATGCCACTATGATCTATTCTATTCTATTCTATTCTATTCTATTCTATTCTATTCTATTCTATTCTATTCTGCTACACAGCATCATTTCATGGTGCACTGGACTGGAAAAGGCATCCTGCTGGAAAAAACATCTGGAAGAAAAAAATGTTTGCCTTTTGCTGGCTATGCAGTTCTTCAGTCCAGCTCAGTGTATCCACCCAAGCCATGTGCCAGTACTGCTCTTGAAGAAACGTTCCTGGAACTGCAGTCTCAGTTTTCTCCAGATAAAAAAAGTCTGCAGATACCAACTAGGGAAAATATATTTGTCTGGCATGACAATTCTTACAAAAGGATCTTTAATTGCACTCTCAGCAAAAAATATGGCGTATTCTCCTCTCCGAGAGCCAAATCCTTGGTCCCTACCCAGAGCCTGATTAAACAGGATTCACTCCCTATTGCCGAGTGCTCCAAGAAACCTCTTCAAAGTTGCAATGGATGACTCCAGGAGCAGCTCTGGCTCCTGAAGGACTTTCTACTGTTCCCAGGTGTGCTGGCCAGGGTTTCTGAAGCCTGGTCACCCATCTCTGAAATCCTTCCGAACAGGTGATATGGAGAGTGCACTTTCTCAATCAGTTTGAACTGATGGAGTTCTGTGGTGCTGGTGAAATGAGTGGTCCCTTCTTTTAGCTCCTGGCAACAGGGTCCAGTGGCCTCCCTTTATCCCAGCATGGAGCTCACGTGGCTGTACACTGAGCCAGACTATGGACTGAGGATCGTTTTTTTTCCCTAGATTAGTTCCCTGATTTGGATTATCACTTGAACACATGATTGCAGCTGCTGTCCTGAGGAAGAGGATGGGTTCATGCACAAGAAGCAGGGGTAAGGAGACAGATCCACCTCATCAAGCTGTAATGGACATCCTTTGAAAACTTGATTACACTGTTTTTCATCATCTAAGTCCCAAAAACCTGCAGTTCACGTATGATAAAAATTGTTACTATCAATGCTAATAGCTTCAATAAATTCCTCATTATCTTTTTGTTGTTGTTGCTGGCAACATATATATAGTGTGAATTGAAAAAAAAACCATGGAATAGTCATAAAAGGAAGCAGAATCTCTGCGGCTGTAGTTTAATTATTTATAATAAACAAAGCAAACTCCATCAGCAGCTGAAACAGTAAAAGCTAAAGCGCTTCCACAAAAAAATTAAGTGGAAGTGATTTTTTTTGAGTCAGAATTGGACTTTTTAAAAAAAGCACAATGTTGAAATAAAACCCCCCAACTCTGTAAACCCCTGTAATCCCGTTTGGTTAGGCTCTTCATAGGAAAAAAAACAGTGTTATAAGCTCTGATGGGCTCATACTCTTAACCATGCAGGTGATTGTGGGAGGAGGGGAAGAAAGCCATGGAAAGAGCTTGGATACATTAAACCTCAGAGTAATGCATTTATCAAGGACTGAGTGGCCCATCCCACTATTATTGTCTCTCTTTGCTGCCGATTTTTGTAGTACTTTGCTTGTTTGCCTTTTTTTTTTTTTTTTTTTTCAATAGATCGATACAGGCTGTCGGTGGGGAATTACAGAGGCAATGCTGGTGAGGAGTGCCTTATACTTGTGCTATCTCTGCTTTGCACAGGGAAGCAAATGCTGGGACCTGTGTATTTTTTTTTTTTTTTTTTTTTTTCCAGAAGCCAGTTTAAAAATAGAAAATGTTATGACTGGAATGTTTTTTCTTCTTGTGTTAGAAGAAAACATCTGTAAGAATTACAAATGTGCCAGTGAAAAATGATTCATAGGTATGTGTGTGTGAACTTTGCATATTCCAAAGTCAAATTAATCTCCAGAAATTACAAATAATTGTAGCCATTTCCCAAAGCCTGTTGTACAAGGACCACCTATAGTGTTGGTGTTTCGTCCTTGTTCAGGATTCTTAGAGCCATTTAGAACCACCCATTCTTGTTCCTGCCAAGTTATATTGCCAAATTTAATCAATATTCCACTTCTGTCAAGACTCAGCAACTGGCATAATACACTGTTTTTATCTTTTCCTCTTTCAGTTTTTGTGTATTGGAATAACATCCAGATTTTATCTAATGGAATAACATTTGTCCATAAAGCTAAATTATCAGTTGACTTCATATTGTTGAGCTCAGTGGAATTAAGGTAACTTGCTGAGTCCATGGCAAATGGGGAAAGTTTCTACCGAGTTGGCACTGTTTCTGTTTAATGACACAAAATCAAGAAGAGGTGTCTAAATCTAAATGTTTTTCTTCAACTTTCAAGAGAAAATGAGAACTGTAAGTAGTTTTCTTCTACTGTAACAGCAAGCATTTCAGTAATTTCTCTCTGTTCTAGTAATACTGGGGCCTGTACCTGCAGGGTCTGCAAACACTGCTTGTTCCCTTCATTTCAGACAGACGCTACCCCAGGCTCATTTCACCTGAGTCATGGGAGTTTAGCCATTAACTGAACCGAGGGATAGGATTTACAGCTCTTGTATTTGAAATGAAGTCTGAAAGGACTTTATGTCTCTGATCAGTGTCTTCCACATTATAGTGGCAGGTGCCAAGCCTTACTTAAGCAAGACATAACTATTTGCCTAAGAGAGGCTGATTTTCTTACCTGTGGTAGTCCTGAGCCGCCAGTGCTCATGCTGTCAGATGGAAACATCAGAGTTTTCAAGAGATTCCTTAGTGTTCTGGTAAATCTCCCACTACAAGCCCTCCTTCTCCTGTTGTGTTCTTCAGTTGGTCATCCACCACTGACGTCCTTTGTGGTCGTAGCTCCAGTCACTATCAAATCTTAGCAGCTTTTTTAAAAGAAGGAATCAAAATATAAGTGTATGATACCTTTATAAAATAATCAGATTTGAAAGCATTTTCTTTTGTAACTCCCATATTGTTCTGTGCTCTCCTTCCTCCATTATACTTAATATAACTATACTTCTTTAAAGAGATATAATATGTAGTGCATCTTTCTGTAGAATCCAGGATGCATACTGTGAGCTATCCAATAGTTGTAACAGTCAGCGGAATAGGGAAATCACAGATCATATAAACCTGTCCTGGATAAAAGTGTTAACCAATGACAAATAGAGAATGTTCTTGGGTTGGACTAGGAGGATTAAACAACATGAGCTGATTATGCTAATTTTCTTCATCTCTTAATGTCTTTGGATTGCTTCATTGAAGTTGAAAGAAAAATATCCCAGTGATTTACATGGAGAGATATTTCACCCTCCTAGAAAATTGTCTGCTTTATATGATAAGTACAGCAAGTACCTGCACATGGTATGACCACTGAATTTGTTCGCTTCAGCCAAACACCTTGCAGGACAGAATTCAGAATGTAACAGTAAATAGAGCTGGTTTTGGCTCTAACCAACCACTGCTACAAAGTTTATTACACTAACTATTACTTTCTAGCACCAAATACCTGGCAGCTTTTCACTATTACGTTAGAGAAACAAAGTGAGTCATTTGCTCTCCTTGCCTCTGCACGATTTCTTATTCAGGCTGTTTTCAAACTCATCTTGTTTTCAAATTATTTAAGCAATTAGCCATATGAAACCTCTTGTTCTCGCTTCTCTGTCCCTGTAAAGTAATATTCCATCAGGTAAGTCCATTAAGTTCCCATTCTGGGATACATTATCACCTCTGCTGCTATGTACACAGAAAGGTGGTTGGAACAAGGACCAATTTGCTGTTTCCTAAATGTCCCCCACCTCCATGTGTGCTTAGACATCATTAGAGATGATAAATAAGGTAATGAAATAAGATGAACTGTAACCAGAGAAAGAAAACCTCTTTCCTTAGCTATTAGGTGCTTTTTACCATCCTCTTTAATCTTCACTTGTGTGAAGCAGGAAGATAAGCTTAAGCAAGCAGTAACAGCAAGAAGCGGGAGCCAGCAGTTTTCTAGGATTCATTTGTGTCATAATGGGCTATTGAAAGTGATTGCTGAGCCTCAAACGATCACTTTAAGAAGCCACGCTCCCATGGCTGAGTGCAAGGAGTAACATCTCGGTCCCTTGAAGTAATGAGGATTTTGCAACTGAACTCACTGGGGCAGGATTTTGTGCTAATGTCTCCTTCCAGCCCTACCACTTGTTTTGTCTGCTGGAGCCAGGTCCAGGCTGGCATGTGCTTCTCGGCAAGGTGGTTCTCCTGGGGGAGGATGAGAGAGTTGCAGCAGCAGCTTTGATACTTCTTGGTGTGGTTTCCATGTCACTTGATGGATGTGAGCCTTCGCAGCCCTTTCCCATCTCCAGGCCAGCCTAATGGCTGCACACAGATCTGAATGATGCCTCTCACCCATCGCCTTCGTTAACTCGTCAGGTGTTGCAAAAACTGTGATGGCTGTGGATTGTGGCTCACCTTAACTTACCATGGATAACTTTATTACAGAGCATCACCTGGCAGTTCCACCCATGCCACAAAGAGTCTCCTCTCTAATGTAACATATTCAAGTTCCTCTGTTGCTTTCCCAGAAGTAGAAAACCACTTTAAGGAGAAAGAATAAATTATTTAGATTGTTTTTAAACCGTTTGAGCTGCTAATACTGTATCACTGACATGGACACTGGAGCTTCATGGCAGATAATAGAAGAGATTTGGAGTGAACTCATTTAGCATGGGATATTTCTGTCAGTATACAAGAAGGAGCACATTCTACCAACTTAGAATCTGTAAAACTGAGTGTCCACAGCAAAGGCTGAGAAAGCTGCTTTCTTCTTTCGCCACAGGGATGTCCTAAAAACAAATGGGAACTAAGGTAGAACTTAAAAGTCTCATTTCCACATATAACCAAAATTCCTCTTTTGAGTTTGAATTCAGCTGACGTGCTAATGAATCCTGTAACATCACAAACTAAGTTTGAACAAATGCATTTTAATGAGATCTTTCTGGTTCTGATGAAAGCCCAAAAAATTTTTGGCAGCAACAGTCCGATTTTTGAACAGATTCCAGTGCAAGGAAATTTAGAGAACAGCAAGTTTGAATCCACCACACAGTACAAAAAATAAGCTTGTGAATTTCATAACTGACCAAAGCTGCATAAAGGTGTACTATTCCTTTCAGCACACTAT